TTTTTTTAATAATTTTAATGAACATTTACAGAGATTTTGGATTTCCATTCATTCATTGCTGCACTTCTCTCCCCGCCCTTCCCTCCTCCCATCCCTCCCAGTTTGTGCCTCTCTTTGAAAAGTAAAAGAAGCACTCCCTCCCTGGTACACAATCCCCCCACACCCCTCCCACTGCCCCAAGTACATTCTACTTTGCAACCTTAATTATGGACTCTTGTGATTTTTAATTGACAGTGCACGATAACAAAAGCAAATCAAAATAACAATGAGATACCATCTCGCCCCAGTAACAGTAGTAAAGTTTGTCAGAACAGCAAATAAAGCATGTTGGTAAGAATGTGGAGAGATTGGAATTCTTATATGCTGTTACTGATTGTCCTTTTCTGATGGAGACTGTTCTCCTTTATGGTGTTAATAGAAGTCAGACTAGATCATCCTTATTCTGCATATACATGTTTCTATATTTTTCCTGGAGAATAATAAAAATTGTATATCTATTCCTTAGTTATATATATCCGTCAACCACCCAAAAAGTGACTAAATTATTTTCATTGCTTACCTAATCTCAGTATCTGGAAGGTAATATTCAAAATGAAAGCTTTCAAGTCAATCATAAATCTTGAAGACTTTGTGTTGGAATTCTGAAGTTTTAAATCTGAATGGAAACATGTTGTTATTGTTGTTAGGTGACACTGAGTCACCTGTGACTCCTAGTGACCCTATATACAACAGCCCTAAACCCTACTCTAACCCTTGCCAATCTTGTCTCTGACACACCTACCCCCATTATGCAAGTCACTGAATCAAACCACCTCATTGAGGATCTGCCTCTCTTGCACTGTCCTTCCACCCTCCAAGTACTGGTTCCACCTTGCAACAAGTCCAAAGTATGTCAAATGAAGCTTCAAAACCCTTGCCTCCAAGGAGCAGAGTGGTCTCACAATCTCTAGGGTGAACTTTGTTCTCCAAGCAGTCCATGGTATATTCAATACTCTTCTCCAGCACTACAGTTCAAAGGCTTCAATTCTCCTTCAGTCATCCCTAGTCACTGTCTAGCTTCTGATGCATGGAAAGTAATTGCAAAGACTATGGCCTGGATCAGGAGCACTTTAGTCTCCAGACTGACACCATTGCTCTTCAGCACTTTGGAGCGACCTCTGAAAGCAGACTTTCCCAATGCCATTTGTCTTTTTTCTTGGCTGCTGGTACGAAGAATGTTGCTTATGGAGCCAAGCAAACTAAAGCTGTTAACAATCTCAATCTCTTCACCATTCATCATGATGCTATCAATCGGCCCAGAGGTGAGAATCTTTGTTTTCTTTATGTTGAGCTTCAATTCATAATTGAAGGCTATAGTCCCTGACCTTCTGCCCAAGAGCTTCAGGTCTTCCCTAGTTTCAACAAGCAGGGCTGTGTCAACTGCATAATGCATATTGTTAATGAGTCTACCTCTAATCCTGATGCCGCATTTCTCTTCATAGAGCCCATACTCATGGGTAATCTGTTACACATATATATTGAAAAGATATGGCGATAGGACACATCCCTGGCATACACCCTTCCCAATTTTTTAACCATGCAGTGTTTCCTTGCTCTCTTTTGACAACTGTCTCTTGATCTAAGTACAGTTTCACATAAGCACAATTAAGTGTTCTGGTATCCCCATTCTTCTCAGAGTTAGTCACAGTTTGCTGTAATCCACATAGTCAAATGCCTTTGCATATTCAATGAAACACAAAAAGACATTCCTCTGGTAATCTGCTTTCAGCCAGGATCCATCTAACATTAGCTATAATGTCTATTATAATACCATAACTTCTTCTAAACCAAGCCTGCACTTCATGTGGCTCTTGTATAAGCAACAGTAGAATCTTGCTTGTGTGTCATATCAATAATATTGTTTGATAATTTCTGCACTCTTTGGGTCACCTTTCTGTGGAATGGGAAAAACATAGATTTTTCCCCCCCAGTCAATTGGCCAGGTGGTTGTCCTCCAGATTTCTTGGCACAACTTGGTGAGCACATTCAGGGCAGTGTCTATTTGTTGAAATATGTCAATTGCTATACCATCAATTTTGCCAATTCTTTCAGAACAGCTTGAACTTCCTTCTTGTTTACCACAGGCTCTTGTTCACACTTAGTTTCATTAAATTCTTCTGTGTCCATCAGTTCCTTTTGATACAATGACTTTATATTCTTTCTATCTCCTTTTAGTGCTTCCTGAATCATTTAATATTCTGCCCAAAGCATCCTTAAGTACTGAAACTCGAGGCTTGAATTTGAACTTCAGTTCCTTCAGCTTAAGAAATGCAGGGCAAGCTTTGCACTTTTGATTTTCTTACTCTAGCTCTTTGCACATTTCCTTTAAATACTTTACTTTGTCTTCCCGCACTGCCCTTTGGGATCTTCTGTTCAACTTAATATCTTGATTTTCTGTACTGGAGACTAAAAGGTGAGGAAAATGGTAAAAAATTAATTCATAGGTAAAAAAGTAATTTCTAGATCTGTCTTAAAATACAATGTTGTGTCTGTCTTGAAATACAATGTTGTGAGTGACAGGATAATATCCATATGCATACAAGAAAGTCCAGTGAGTATACCATCATTCAATTATATGCACCATCAACTAGAGTCAAAGAGGAGGAAATAGAAGATTTCTACCACCTTTTACAGTCAGAGACTGATGGAACATGCAATCAAGATGTACAGCTTACCCCAATTCCATTAATTAACATAATTAAACAGAGTGCCTAATGTATCATTTTCACCATCTCCTTTGTGCTGTGTTCAAGTGCAATAATTCAAATGCTGTGTCAGTCTATTTCCTCAAGAACTTTCCTATTTTTCCCTGAACCTCTAAAGAAATTATAGATGGATAGACAAAAGGTTATGGGGTAAGAAATATTACTGTGAGAAGGAGTATAGCTGAATTCAGAGAAAATAAAAAACAAATGTTTCATTGTACTTGCTTGATTATGTAAAGACATTCAATTGTGTGATTTATATAAATTATTAACAATGTTGAAAAAAGTGAAAATTTCAGAGCAATGAACTGTCACAAAGACCTAGAAGCAGTTACTCAAAAAAGTGCTACACAGTTTAAAATCAAAAGTAGTGTGTGTCAGGGCTATATAATGTCTCCATATCTATTCAAACATAGAAACAATACCTAAAACATTGGAGCTCTGTTGTTCTAGTGAATAAGGAGTTATTATATCATCCAAAGGTAGGTGGTTTGAAACTAACAACTATTCTACAGGAGAAAAAAGAGGCAATCTTCACTCTTGCTATTTAATCTCCTTTGAGATTCATACAGGTGTTCTTCCACACTCCACCCTCTCTCTCAGCAATCAAGTTTGTGTCATCTGTATTGTACAGGTGGTTGTTGAGGAATCCTCCAATTTGGATGCCATATACTTCTTAATATACTTCAGATTCTACAAGAATTTACTCAGAAAGCAGATTAAGAGGGTATAGAGAAAGAACTCAACCTTAATACATATCCTTACTAATTTAAAACCCAATAGCCTTGCCTATTCCTTTCTTGAGTCTATTTCACATGAACACAAGTAAATTTCAGGGTTCAATTTCTTCCCAATGTTATCCATACTTTGTTATGATTTATATATGAAGATTATTTTACATATCAATAAAACACAAATAAACCTCTTTACCATATTCTCTGCTTTCAACCAAGACTCATCTAACATAAGAAATTATATTCCTCATGCTACAACCTCTTCTGAATCCAAATTGAACTCCTAGTAGCTCCCTGTTGACCTAATAATATCATTCCAGTCATTTTAAAATAATCTTCAGCAAGATTGTACATGCATGTGATATATCCTTTCTAGACATCTATTCAATCTATAAATTATTAAAGAAGCTGGACTTTGTGAAGAAGAATGTGACATCAGAATCTGAGAAAGACTCTTTAACAACCTGTGCTATGTGGATGACAAAATCTTGTTTGATGAAAATAAGGAGGACTTGAAATGCTTTTTGCAGAATATCAGTGACTACAGTGTTCAATATGAACTACATCTCAAAATCAGGAATACAAAAATCCTCAATACGACCAACAGAAAACATCATGATAGATGGAGAAATTAAAGTTGTCAATAATTTAATCTTACTTGGATCCACCATCAACATTCTTCGAATTAACATACATGAAAGCAAAATACGTACTGCATTGCTTTCCAAAAATACACATATGAAAACGGCCCACAGTAAGAGATAAATCATTGTAAAGAGGACTGGGGAGTTGAGAAGGAAGCTAATTGTGCAATAATGAATGAACTTTTTTTT